AAGCTGGTGAACTGGGAGGGAGGTGGAAAAACGCACCCCCCCCAAAAAAAAAGTGTTCCTTTTTTAGTTCCCAGGCCATTACTGGATCCTCCAAAACAAGACTGAGTGGCATCATCCGCATAGATCCCAACACTAAATTCTCAAGTGGCTGTATTACCTATAGCCAGGCCCCAAGAGCTCATACCTACACCTACTCACGGAAAGTGACTAAGACTTTCTAATAATGAGCAATACAGACCTAGAATCGCTTGAGGATTGTAATCAGACAAAGCCAGTCCGTGGACTGTCTAACTCATCGATAGGAGGCCAAGTTGGCCATCCCTCCCCAGCTCTGCCACTCTGGAAAGAGGCCACTCGCAAGCCTCGGACTGCCAAAGACTGTGGGTTCTACCTCCGCCTTAGGCAGCACCTGTTGGAATGCACAGTCTCGGGGTGCCATCTGTGTCTGCACCCCATCAGGTTTCCATTGTACATGGACAATTTTATAATTCTGGCCCTCATTGTTGTCCCAGAAGACCCTCCCATTAGCGTGGTAGGAAATGCAAAACTCGATTTTCTCCTCAGTTGGAATGACACGGGGTAAGTCGATGGCAAAGGAGAAGGTGTCGCTGTCGGAGCTGCCGTAAACATTCTTCATGTAGACACAGTCCACATCCGTGTAGGTTTTCCAGGTGTCAAAGGTGATCCGGACCCGAACCTTCTTCTCAAAGCTCACATTTTTCACTTTGACTGTCCCAGTCACTGTCCGCTCCTGCAAAGAGCAGTTCTCTAGGCAGACAAAGTTCTTCTGAAAGCGGTCCCGGAAACTTAAGTAATCGGACGAAGGCTGGGGGAAATCGAAAACCAGGTTTTTCTCCTCGTGAAGCTTTAAGCTGGAGGAGATGTCGTTAAGGTCCAGGAGGTCGAACTGCAGGTCCCACGCGGGTTCTTCTGGGAGGTCAGAGAAGACGTGGACAGCAGTGAGCGACAACCCCTTGGAGTCGGCAAACACGACCCGCTTCTTGGCTTGGTCGTGCGGGGGCTTCCATCCATTCTGCGATTTGGCTTCCTGCTTGACATTGAGACACGGTTTCAAAGGCTTCAATTTATTCACAAAACTTCTTCGCTGAAAGTCACTGTAAGGACCCAGGAAACTCTTCAGGGGTGGTGAATGAGCCAAGCAAATCCTCATGGCCACATCCATTGGCATGACTGAACTTGTCAGAGGACGTGGATCCAGCACATGGATCATTCTGGAATGGAAAAGGAAGAAGGGTGATCAGCAAGAGCTGGAGCATGTGCATGTGCACTAGTTACAGCAGGAATCAGGGAGGGGCTGACACATGGAGATAGAACACTTGGACGAGCATGTGTGTGCGGTGAGCATGTGTGTGGTGAGCATGTGTGCAGTGAGCATGTGTGCAGTGAACATATGTGTGTGTACTCCAGCTCTGTGCTTGGCAGGTTCCTGGACTTGTGTGAAGCGCCTGAAACACTCAGAGTGGGTTCACTCCCCCATCTAAAAAATCAGAGGGTTGGATCTGATGATTTCTGACACAGCTCTGAGGATTATTTGCTCTGTTCTAGGTCAGTGGTTCTTAAACCTGTCAGGTCAACATGACCTAAGGAGTTTCTTTCCTCTAGGGGAAAAAAAATCAGATTCCAGGGACTTAGAACCACTATAGCGCTTCATGGCATGGCGCCAACAAGGTAAATATGCATTAAAGCTTCCCCGGAGAGTCTATTGACCAGCCAGTTCCTTCCATAACCACAGTCCAGACAGACCGACACTCTTGCTCTTTCTGGCTGCTCTTTCTTATTTTGGATTTTAAATCGGTTTTACTTCTCTGGAAAAGTAATCCACTTGAAAAGAGATAAATGAAGCAATCTCTAAAATGTCGTGTAGTTCTTAGGTGAAGTCAGAACAACTTTTGGATTTTATCAAGTTTGCACAAATTTTTCACAAGTGACCAATTGCCACACCAGCTAACATCTCATGTACTAAAGGGGAAAAAATTAAAACCTACATTTCATATAGAAAGATATCCATGACACGTCCATGTGAAAATAGAAAAGCTGGCTGTCAAGTTAACAAACATCCTCATCCTGTCCGATAGCTTCTTTACTATATCTCTGTCCTATAACCTGCTGTACACATTACATATACAAAAATAAAATACATTTTTTAAGAACTGATAACCTGAGAATTGAACCATTTTAAAATACATGGTAGGTATTTGAATTTATAAATTCTGAAAAACTTTACAGAGAAAAACACTAAAATGTTAATTATCTTTGCATGACAGAATTACAATCTACTAGTTGTGTGCGTCTATTGTTTGAGAGAGTCATATTTACAAGTAGAAATAACAATAGCTAATATAAAACCAAGAATCATCCATCAAGATTTTTTCTGGCCTTTCCCTTGCCCTCACACTATGTTGCCACTATTATAGAATTAGGATTTTCCAATCTCAGCCTTATAGTTAAGAGACACATGAAATATAGTAGGTGCCATTTTCCTCTCTGGCCTTAATTTTTAATTATTTATTCTTTAGCAATTTATGCATGTATATAACATATTTTGATCGAATATGTATGTACTATATATTTTGTCTAGCTTGAAGGAGTCTCTTAACAACCTCACTAAGCACAGCAGGCTGGCAAATGGTTATCATTACAAAGTGTATGGTAAAGAATGTATACAGAACTCACTTTAATAGCTCTAGGGTTTTTTCTGACAAGATTACTCCCAGCAAACAAAAGCTCAAACGGTATTTGTCTAACAACCCTTAACAGGCAGGATTTGGGGAGGGAGAATTCTTTGACTAAGTCATTACTAAAGACGCAACAAAATGTCATGGAGTGTTCTTGGTTGCTTGGTTGACTGAGCTGTTACTCGTTTTTGTTTTGTTGAGCTGTTATTTGTCTCTTTACTTCTGCATTTATAGAAAATTTTAGAACTGGGTTACTGGAATTCTATGTCCGGGCCAGGAGTTAAAAATGATAGTTTGCTCAAACTCTGAGACTGGGTTTCCTATGACAGGCCAGGTTATGGCAAGTGGGAGGAACGAATGAATGTAAAATCGTCCTGTAACTTTGCCACAGCCTAAACTACCTCCCCAGCAATGTCAGGGTGCAAATGAAGCTTCCCCCAAGTGCTTGGGTCGTTGAGCTCAAAGGCAACAGAGTCACCTCAGCAAGGGAATCGCAGCTGTAGCTGATTCACGCTTAGGCAGTTTCTGCTTTGAAATGCTGACTTCCAAAACAAGCGCTAAGAAATACAACTCAATTCCACTTCTTCAGGCCTCCTGGGCGTTTCAACTCAGCCATCAACTTGGCGGTCTCCATCTGCAGAAAAAGCAAAACCACAGAAGCCCCCAACGTCCCCGCAGCTGCAGGTTTCCCTGCACAGAGTTGCACCGAACCTACCTGGTGCAGCTCATTGGACCGAGAGGCAGCGGCGACCACGACAGCCCCAGCCAGCGCAACCTCGCACCCAGCACTTAGCGGATGCAGCGCCGCGGTCCAGCCCGCCGACTGACAGTCCGGGGCCCGGGAGGCAGTTTATCAGAGCCCGACCACGTGAGCTGCTCCCTCTGACCAATCAGCGGTCGGATGGCGGGGCCAACCAGCGCGCAGCTGGGGCTCGAGCCCTTGTCCCTGGAACGTGACCACCGCGGGGCTGGATGTGCCCGGAGTGTGCTGGAAGGCGGGCCCGGTGTTGGGGAGCCCCGGGCCAGCGGGACCCAGCTGCGTTCCCGGAACCCCGCGTGCAGCACGTAGCGCACGGCCGCAGACACTCAGCTGACCTCTCCCTGCCTGTGCGAGCCTGGCGGGGTCTTCTGTGTTAGGCGTGGGTCTGTGCAGAGTTGAATCTGATCTCAGAAAGCTGTGTCTCCACCTGGTTTCTGTGCTATTTGAAATCCTTGTGCTCCTTGATTTGTGCGTCCAAGCGCCTTGGCCCACGCAAAAACAAGTTGGCTAGTTTTTCTTTCTCCACAAATAACGGCATACAGCCACTCAAAGTAGGCAGGGGATGTCAGGAGTTGCCATAGTTCTCCTAACAAATGTTAAGAAAACTTGTGAGCCCATTAAAGGAGGCGGCCCTTCTGATCTCTTCCCTCTGAAGGTGGAGGCAGGGGGCCAGCCTAGACAGCCCCTACCCCTGAATAATCAAGCAGACACCACTTCGTATGTTAATCTATTCAATTTTCTCCTTGGAAGAGAAAAGTATAGGCAACACGAAGTTACTACTGTCCTTGCTCGATGCCACCAGATGCAGCAGGCAGCCCAAATCCCTGGCCGAGGTTCTGACACCCTTAGGCAGTGAGGTAAAGGTCACACTCCATGTCACGACCCTCCTAAGTCAGCTGCGTTCACTGAGGTTTCCTTATTTTATTTTGGAGCTTGAAGGACAAAATCGATTGTACAATTAGAAACTATAAAATTAAATTTGTTAGTCAAGTACAATGGTTTTCTTTTGTTTTTCTGAGATTTTAATAAAATTACATCATTGTCCCCCTTCCTTTCCTCCCTCCAAACACTTCTATAAATCCCTCCTTGTTCTCTTTCAGATTCATGGCCTTCTTTTTGCTAACTATTGTTATTTGCATATCTGTACAAGTTACTTTTATAAAGCCCCAGGATCCAGCTATGCTTGGATATCTGGCAGCCAATTAGAATGTGCGAAATATTTGTGTCATTTAAGTGTCAAACTCTAGAATTGTTAAAATGGATCTGGAGTGAAGAACCAAAGACGGGTGGCTGCCGGTCTGGAGACCCCTCAGCGGCAGAACGCTTTGCTGCTCTTTCAGAGGACCAGAGGTTAGTTTCCAACACCCAGATCAGGCGGCTTACACCCCGGTCATTCCAGCTCCAGGGGACTCACACCCTCTTCTGGCTTCTGCTAGACCCTCACACATGCACATACAAACCCAAAGACACACAAAAGTAAAAATAAATATTTTTTTAAAAAAAGAAAAATTTATACTGAACATCACAGAGGAAAATAATGACTGGACTTTTTAAAAGATTTGCTTTTATTTCATACATATGAGTGGTTTCTCCTGTGTATGCGTATGTATGCGTACCACATGCATACAGTGCCTTCAGAAGTCAGAAGTGGGCATTAAATTTCCTGGCACTGGAGTTACTGATGGTTGTAAACCACCATGTGGGTGCTGGGAACCAAATCCCCGTCTTCCGCAAGAGCAGCAGGTGCTCTTAACCACTGGACCATCTTGCCAGCCCTTGGGCTGTATAATGGCGCATCCTGTGGCTCCTCTCATGGCGGCCCAAATCATCTGAAAGACAGTGTTTGGGGTTTGAGCCTCACCTGAATCCAGGCAAGTTCTAACCCCAGTTTTCTGGAGTGCCCCATGGAGATGATAAATTTGTTCTGAGGAATAAGTTAAATTGTGCATCTCAGGACCCTACCCAGTTCAGGTGTTCAGCCCATATTAGATCTCAAATGAGTACTTGACTCTTTCACCCTTGTTCTCTTCTCCCCTCAGCAAAGTTAGTACCCGGGGAAAACAGTGACCAGACTGTTGCTCACTGAGCCTTATCATGTACCAAACACAATTTGGTTGCATTGTGGTATCTGCTTAATATTTGCAGCATACTGGCATTGCCTGTCACAAATGGCATCTTAGAGATAGGAAACCCATTGGGAGACCAATAACCCTGCCCAGGACCTTCCAAGTCGAGTCGTGATCAGAACCTGCATGAATCAATATTGATAACTACCACCTGTCCCATTCTGTCTTCCTTCAGTCAATGGTCAGTTAGAAGGACAGAGACAGGAGGGGCCTTGTGTGTTGTTGGCATCAAACTCTTTATATTTCACCGTTGAGAAATCTTAATCCCGAGAAGCTGAGCTGCTTGCCAAGGACTGGTTAGGTCAGAGCCAAAACTAGACAGAATCTTGGGCAGGCTTTTTCTCTACACAAACCATATATTGAGGTAAAGAATGAATATTACCAGCTAAAGCTACGGAACAGCATACAATAAGAGGAATGTATTATGACTCTACATAGGAGGGAACCATGTGCCTGAATAGGAGCTAGAATTTATGCGCTACCAGAACAGTATTTGGGGATGACAGCAGTACGCGTGGTAAATGTTTTTGTTTTGCTTCTCTATAGCTTTTGGATTTTTTTTTACAATTAACACAGAAGACTTCTGTAATTAGGAAATAAATTTGAAAAGATTTTTCAAAGTTTCAGATTCAAGTAATGTGGAGAGCCGTGCTGGGTGCCAAGAGCCCTGTTGGAAGGTTTTTCATGTACTTAGCTGGTTTCCTCCCACTGTCCCTCCGCCTTCTCTCCTGCCCCCTGGCGTTGATTAATGTTGTCAAAGCAGCTTTCTGTTTCAACTTCAAGAGAAATTTTTAGGGAAAACAGGACTCTTTCCGAAGAGAAGTCACGGTACCCTGTAAGCTGATGATCCAAGCCTCTCCTTCAGGTCCCTAGCTGGTTTTTGCTGCCTTTCATGCTAGGATTAGAGAAACTGGAAAGGGGTCAATGTTTTTCAGTTGGATATTGCGTCAATGAAGATGACTGAAGCAGGAGTTATGAAGAATTTTATTATTTGTGGGCTTTCTCCAAGTGCGGTTTGGCAGCATTCAAACGCTGCTTTGTCTTGCTCATCTTCACATAGTAAATCTATCGACTGGGGCTCTTTAATTGGTGCAGTGTGCCCAGCACCATTGTAGGGGTTACCAGGAGTCATAAGCCACAGCCCTTTGACCTTGAGAATAGTCCAGACTTTATTCGATTTTAAACTCAGCAGGTAGCCCGGGCATGAGGAGCTGCTGACAGAGTGAGTTACACAAGAGGGGCTGCCCAAGCGTTTGCTCAATATACCTGAGCTGCCTGTGTGGGAAACTCACCCTGGGGTCCCCCAATTACCAACTCATTTTTTCCTTCTTTCTTCATGTGTGTGTGTGTGTTGTATGTGTGTGTGCATGTTCATGTTTGTGCTCATGTGTGGAAACGTGTGTGTGTGTACAAATGTTGAATGTCTTCCTCAGTCCCCACCATTGCCTTATTTTCTCTTCCTGAACCTGGAGTTCACTGACGGCCAACAAGCCCCGAAGGCATAGTACACTAGAGCCCCAAACTCCTCAGTTTCCCAGGTAGCTAAGACAACCGACAAAATAATATGATTTTTTTTTAAGTCTCCAGAATACTCTTGAACAAAATCAGACATCTGGGTGCTACAAAACGAGACGAGCAATGGAAAAATGCAATCTGACTCTGGGAAGAGGCATTCACTCTTCTTGACGGTGGTAACTCCAAGTAGCTGCGCTATCTCTGTCTTCACTGAAGGGTGAAGGGCTGAGCTACAAAGACTCTAAAAAGTAACCACTGAATCATGCTGAAGGGCATTTTACAAGACTTTTATATGTCATTACTTATTTATGAGTGTGTGTGTGTGTGTGTGTGTGTGTGTGTGTGTGTGGCACCTGGGTGGAGGTCAGAGGATACCTTGCAGGAGTTGGTTCTCTCCTTCTGCTATGTAGGATCCAGGCATCAAACTCAGGTCGTCAGGCCTGGAAGCAAGTGTTTTACTCACCGAGCCATCAGCCCTTTAAAGGCTTTAGTGGGACTACCTGGAAGATGAAAGAGAGGAAGGGTCGTGTAAGAGAAGGAACAGAAATTAGCCAAAATGTTACCAAAATAATAGGAAACATCAAAAAACTCAAAATGAGAACAAATAATATTCTGAAAACGAGTAAGAAGAAGGCATTTTAGCTCTATCTGCTTAAATTGTACCCTAGAGTTTTACAAAATAAATATTGGTACATGAATACAGAATTATCAGTGAAAGGAAAAAATCCAGAAATAGACGTGCTTACATATCAGAATTTACTAAATACTTCAGGAGGGCATGTCTAATAAGGAGAGAGGGAAATGGATCGTTCAAAAAATGGGCAACGACCAGCCTTGGACTGGAGATTAGAAAGATGTGCCCAAAAAATTGCTTTCACTCTCTGTGGGTTGATGGAATAACAACATGTGTGAATAAGACATGTCAGTAGGAGAGCCCTAGTCTGCTCTGTGTTGCTATAACAACTGCCGGACGACAGGTATCATGTAAAGAAAAACAGATTTCCTCGGCCTTTACTTCTAGTGGCCAGCTCAGATAGCATGGCAAGGGACCAGCTGACTGCATTGCAACACAGCAGAGGGCGTCCTGTGGAGGAGCCAGCTGAGATCGGAAAGCAGGAGCATGCAGGGGCCACAGGACACACTGCAAGGGAGGACACGAGACAGTGGGATCATCTCCTCCCTTTTATAACCGGCTGGCAAGAACTAATCCACTCTTGAGAAATCTACCTATTTCTAGAGATCAGCTCAGCCTCAGTCCTTGCAGAGAGCAGTCATCCCCAGCCACTTCCCACTGGGTTTAACCTCTGAAAGGTCCTGACACATTTCAATACATTATCTGGGGAATAAGCTTCAGTGTGAGTTTGACACTGTTGGCCTGGCTCCACCTACCCTGGGCACTGCAGTGTTGGTGATTTGGAGATTTTCTACTTTAATTCATGACTTTGGGACAAGGGGGAAAGTATTGAATGGGAGTAGGGTTTATTTTCTTCAGTGATATAGCCACCGCTAAGTTGGTTTGTGATCTAGGAAATAATCTTCCACCTGTACTCATTCAAACAACCCTAATTCAATTCAGATTGTCACACGCATACAACACACACACACACACACGTCTGGCCTGGGAATTGTAATTATTTTTTAATTATAGATTTTATTTAAATTTGTAATCAAAAATCTTAATTTTCCTCTTTAAAAAAAAAATCCAGCTGGATATGGTACCACACACCTCTAATCCCAGTACTCCAGAGGCAGAGACAGGTGGATTTCTGTGAGTTTGAGGCCATCTTGGTCTTCATAGTGACCAGGACAACCAAAGCTACATAGTGAGACCCTGTCTAAAAAAAAAAACTAAAAAAGAACAAAAAAGCTCCTAGGTGAGGGCCTCTGTAGACAGATGCCACCGGAGTCCTTTAAGGTTCTCAAGAATTTAGTTAGGGATAAAATAGCGGTAAACACTCACTGATACAGAACAGTTTAAACTCTGCTGATTCAGCTGTTTCTGTCCGGTCGTTCTGTCCAGGTGAAGAGCAAGCCACTTGCTCCACTCCGACCGTCCAAGAGGGTGGGAGCAAAAGCGTGAGACCCTCTCCCTATTGCTGTGAGGAGACATCATGACCAAGGCAACTTATAAAAGAAAGCATTTAGCTAGGGGCTGACATACAGTTCCAGAGGGTCAGTCCACGTTCATGGCAGGAAAGGAAGCATGGTGGCAGGCAGGTACAGTGCTGAAGCAGGGCTGAGCGCTCATATCTGATCCACAAGCTGCAGATAGAGAATGCAAGGCTGAGCCTGCCTGGGCTTCTGAAACCTTCAAGTCCACCCCCAGTGACACACCTCCTCCAACAAGGCCACACCTCCTAATCCTTCCTAAATAGTCCAGCTACTGGGAACCAGACTTTCAAATTTATGAGTCTATTCTCATTCACATTCAAGCCACCACAAACACCCTAACCAAGAAGCTATTTGCAATTGATACCCATTGGCAAAAGGAAAATTTGTTTTCTCCCATGGAGTGCCACTGAGTTTATCAACCACATTTCAGGGCAGACCACCCATGCCCAGGAGTAGTTGGCCTACACAAAAGGAGCTGTATGTTTTTACTTAGGATTTTGGGCAATTTTTTTTCTTATTGGTGGTTTTTGCTTATTTTGATTTTTGTTTTTATGTAGTGTTTTGGTTTTTTGTTTTGTTTTGTTTTTGAAAGAGAGAGAGAAAGAGCATAAAGTTGGGTGAGTGAGAAGGGTGGATCTAGGAAGAACGGGAGGAGGTGGAAAACATGATCAAAACATATTGAATGAAAAAAAATTAATTAAAAATAACTAGTCTCTGAGGGGATAGTTAGGAAGGAAAGAATAGGGGGGTTGATATGGTCAAAGTACACGATATACTTGAATGAAACTTATTTACAAAGTCTATAACCACATTTTTTAAAGGTTAAAAAAATGTATTAAAGCGAAGACTGAATCTGCTTGGTATAAGGGGAGCAACAGGGGATCACCAGTCCCTCCGCTCTGAATCGGACAAACCAGAGGACAGCGGGGAATCCCTCTCCCCTCTGAGTCAGACAAGCCCCTTCATGGTTGCTCGGCTTTCTCTGCACTGTGTGGGCTGATGCTGTCTGCTTTGTCCTTGCTATGTCTAGGCAGCTGGTCACACCTCTGCTTTGGTCACCCATTTCATTAAGTCTTCATGCCCTGTGACATCAAATTCTGTTGCTTTGCTTTAAATATGAGTGGCCCGTGAGCCGCAGCAGTGGTCTGTGTGACCAGGCCACTACTTACCAGACTCGTATCATCCGCTGGACAGGCTTCCTGTTCTACAGCCGGATGTCTGTCTGGCCTCAGCTCTGAACTTCGGTTCTAGGAAAGGTTTCAAAGCACCTTCAAGAGTCGCAAGCCCACTCACTTGTAAGATACCACCACACTTCCTTTAATTATGACGAAACCGACCTCCTCCCCTAACGAGCTGCCCCCTCGTGCTCACAAATGGCTCACATCACCCTACTCCCAAGGCCAAACAGAACTTACTGGCTCCAAGCAGTGTTCAGAGCTCCGTATTCCTTTCTTTGTGACTAGAATTGGGTGTTGTCTCCCTAAACCTGGGGGAGAAAGTGTAGACCTAGCGTAGGCCAGAGTCCTGCGTCAGTCAGAGAACTGTTTCTGCCTGGCTGCTGCATGCCAAGGATGTGATGGAAAGTTCCAGCTTGGGAACCTGGGGAAGGCAGTTTTCCAGATCCCACAGAGTCAGCTATTTGTACTAGGGCTTTAATATTTTGTTTAAAGTGTAGTAAATCTTCTAGAATGTCACCCAAAACTTTAAAAAACACCCCTCAAAGCCAACCTTCTCTACGTGTTTGCCCTCCATTAGCTAAGTAATGGCCTTTTTAAATGAGCAACTGTTAAGCATTTTTTTATTCTGTTTTGTTTCTGTTCGTTTTTCCGAGACAGGGTCTCTCTCTATGTAGCTTTAGCTGTCGTGGGACACACTGTGTAGATTAGGCTGGCCTCAAACTTATAGAAGCCCACCAGCCTCTTTCTCCCACGTACTGGGATTAAAGGTATGCCGCCCCACCACACCCTGCTGAAACTGGTAAACTTTTAAATCACTTTAAAGTTAGGGGTGTTTGGAGAGCCACCAAGAGAAAGATAAGTGCTTCCAAATGCTTCCCCAACCAAAACAGGTTACCCCCTGCAGTCAAAAAAACACTAAGCAAAATAGCATTTGGTCTGGCTTTCCTGTGTGTATTGTTGAGTTCTGAGAGCCCAAACAATTGGTGGTTGAAAAAGATTTTCATCCTGAAAAAGAACAATAGGAAGAAAATTCACAATACTAAGAGCAAATTCTGTAGCCATCACGCGAGATTCTTTTACACATCTAACGACATCACTGCTATGTAGGCAGACTTCTCTCTGTCTGTCTCTCTTATCAGCTGCTCCCTGATAACCACCCAGAGGCTTAATATTAATGATAAATGCTTGGCCAATAGCTTAAGCTTGTCTCCCCAGCCAGCTCTTAAAACTTAAATTAACTCATTTCCATTCATCTATGAGCTGCCCCAAGGCTCGTTTATCTCATCTATGAACTTTCCATGTGGCTTCCTCTTCATCTGGCCCACACCTCCCGAGACTCCGCCCTCCTTCTTCCCAGCATCCTCTCAGTTAGTTGGGCTCTTCTGCCTAACCTCTACCTGTCCAGCTATTGGCCAGTCAGCTTTTTTATTAACCAATGAGAGTAATGCATAGTTACAAGGTTCAAAGTTTGTTCCACACACTGCTAGCTATAATATAATATGATTACAACATAATGTTCATTTTTCCTTTATGTTTGCCTGATTAATTTATTTGACTTTTTGAAACAAGGTCTCAAGAGCCCAGGTTGGCCTAGAATTTGTCATACAGCTGAAGATGGCCTTGAACTCCCGATCCTCCTGTCTTCTCCTCCCAAGTGCGGGCGTTACAGTCGTGCAGCTCCCTGCCAAGCTCTACCGCTCATTTCAGATTAAATGGCATTATTCCTGGGGATTTACCCAAAAGTCTCTAGGTCAACATATCGCAGAGACATTTGACATTCATGTTTATAGTTGCACTGTTCACAACACCCAGGAAACGAAGCCAGCTAGAAGTCTGTAAACAGATGGATGGATACAGAAAATCCAGTACACATACACAGCAGAATTTTATGTAGCCACAAAGGAAAAGAAAATCATGACATCTGCAGGAAAATGAATGGAACTGGGGGCCATTGTGTTAAGCGAAATAAGCTAGACTCAGAAAGACAAACAGTACCGATTTCTCTTCACAGATGGAACCTGAGTTTTAAATTACAAATGTGTATCCATACATATAGTATGTATGTATGCACATTTATGGGTCGTGACACTAGAAAGAGGATCCTGAGAATTGGGGGGCAGACCTTAAGGGAGGTGGGAATTAGAGAGGGCAATCGAATCCATAACCGGAACACAAAAGGGGTGACTCGCTAAAAAAAAGAAAAGACGTGGGTGGTGTGGGAGAAGAGTGGGGGAGAGGAGGGAGTGAAAATGAAATGTAATGACACTTATGTATGAAGATGTGATTGTGAGAAACAATGACCTTCCCTTCATAATAAGAGTCCCATTGAAGCAGTCAATGTGACAGCCTTGCAAAGTAGGGGGTCAGCCCAGCATGCAGGCACAGCTAACTGTGTGCTGCAGAGAACAGGTTTTAAACCCTAAGCAGTAAGTCCCTTCCTCTTCTCCTTGCTACGTAATCAGGAAAGTACAAGCCTACATATCTTCCTCATATCTTTTCCTCTTACATTTATCTTTTTCTGAGCAAAACCAAGTGTGGGTTCATCTCTGTCAGACACATGCCCTTTTAGGCAAGCTTGGCCGTTAGTGGCATTAGTAACTCTACGCTCAGCTTCCTATTTGTGGATAGAATCCCCTAGCAGAAGTCAGCAAAGGCCTAGCATTTCCTACCCACTTGTAGCCTGGCCTAAGTTGTCTTAAGGTACCTTTGAAAATGGACTAATAGATTTCATTTCTGACATTATTTTGCATGATAACTAAAAGATAATTTTAAAAAAGAAATAAATCAGACTGAAGAAAAGAAAGCAGTAAATAGTTTAAAAAGAGCAAGAGACTTTTGCTTAACTCAGAACAAACGATGACAAGCTATCACCTTTGCTTATCTTGCTTCTACTTCACCCCTCCCCCCAAATTCAAAGTTTGGGTGCTATTTACTGAACAAGTCTTCTCCGTGGTTTATATTGGAAGAGGTTATTATTTTGCAAAGTCCAAACAAAAACGCAATGCTCAATTCGTAGTAGCCAGAGTCAGCACTTAGGCAATAACACTTGCTGTGGGGTTAGCTCTTGCAGTGTTCTTCCCACCGTTACTCCATTTGCTCTCCACAAAAACCCTTTCTGTTGCTGTGAAGAGACACCATGACCACGACAACTCTTACAAGGGAAAGCATTTCATTGTGGTGGTAGCCTACACGGTGCTAGAGAAGGAGCTGAGATTTCTTACATCTTGTCTCAGAGGCAACAGGAAGTGGTCTGAGACACTGGGCAGTGTCTTGAGTACATAGGAGATCTCAAAGCCCGCCTCCACAGTGACACACTTTCTCCAACAAGACAACACTTCCTCCTGTAAAGCCAAAACTCCTAGTAGTGCCACTCCCTTTGGGGGTCATTTTCTTTCAAACCACACCGCTCATGATTTCGCTCTGTCCATGGGGAAAATGAGCAATGGTAAAAGTGAATTTCTGGGAAAAGAGTCACAGGAAGTAAGTGGACAGAATCAACTTTTGAAGTCAAGACCCCCATGTGTATCTCATCTGGGCCATTCACAGATATCACACCAGGATGGAGCATGAGCAGTCTGTTGGGCACATGTCTCTCCGTGTTTATTCTGTCTCTAAGCCTGCCTGCTCTCACTGCCTCGCGCTTCCCTGCCTCTCACTTGAATTGAATCGCCTTCTTGCTAGTTTGTCTCATAATTCAAATGTGCCACAACCAATACACAACTCTGACCACAGAATCCAACAGTAGCTACCCCAATCTAAATCTGTCAAAAATAGACAAGCAATCACTTAATACCTGTGCTCAAAAACAGTCCCTCACCTGCAGAGTCCTTTCTCCATTCCCTTTTCTGAGGTTTATCTCAGAAGCCATTTCTGCAGAAACCCATCCATATCCTTCACCGCCTCAATGATCTCTGTGTTTTCCATAAGATCCTAGAGGATTTATCATTTCATGTAGCATTGACTTTGATAATGATCTGCCTTGTGTTTGTCTCCCCTGATAGACTGTAGGTTCCTTGACAGCAAGGAGAATACCTTATTCATCTGCATATCTCCAACACCTGACACCATGTCTATCTAGCACACATGCCCACCAGGTGAAGCGGATGCATTAATTATTAATATAGGTACTGGCTTCTCATTGCCTCACAGGTAATTGAGAAAATGGCATTGAACTGGCAGGTGGAAAGAACATGAATTGTCCAAAGATGCTTTGAGAAAAAATCTACAGAGTAATGTTGACCACCCCCAAAATAAAAGAAATCCTAAATAAAGATTGTGAACCACACAAGGTTGGTTGGCGAGAGGAAAGGGTATTTCAAAAGTACCACAAAGCAGTGCCAATCAAACCAGCCAGTGAACCAGGCCTGGGAGTCCCGGCAAAAGTACAAGTTGTCCTAGGACATGGCAGGTTCGTTTTCAGGTCACAAGCCAGTTCCCAGGACCAGGAGCAGTGGAGACTTGGGTTTCTTTAGAGCAGTAGCTCATCAGAATTCTCTTAGTGTGTGCAAAAGCCTTTCTCCTCCTCTGATGGTCCTTGGCTGCTTCTGTCTCTTGCCCAACTTCTCCAGTTCGTCTTAAGTTTCCAGATCTCTCTTTCTTCCTCCACCTCCCAATGTCTCCTTTCCCTCCTTCATCTCACTGCTTGTGTAAGATCACCAGTGCCTTTCAAGCCTGCAGGACATTTCTGCTGCATAATGCATACCTCTAATTCGAGAAAGTACACAGGTCAAATGAGTGCTCGCCTTGGTGTGCTATGGACTCCTGTTTGTCTCTGCTGTTCCCTCTCCTGGGAAGTCCTTCACCTTATCCATCCCTGGTCCAGCTCAAATGTCCTCTGCTAAATGTTCCCAATCCATGGTAACAGAGACAGAATGCCCTGTTCTCTTCCCTGAACTTTAGAGATGAATTTGCTTAGACAACTAAAATAGCTTTTGTGGCACTCAATGTCTTTATTTTGTTTGCTTAATTGCCTCCTCTAGTAAACTATGAACTCTCGAGGACAGATACCAAATATCATCCATTTCCATATCCCTCAGCATCATAGACACTCAAAAGAAATTTGCTTACGTAGCCTGTATTCTAAGTCAAGCACAGTGGCCCATGAGTGTAATCCCAGCACTTGGAAGATTGAAGCAAGAAAACTGCTGTGAGTCTGAGACCATAGTGAGGTCTAGGCCAATCTGGGATACAGAGGGAGACCCTGCCTCAGAAGAGAAGGAGAAGGAGGTAGGAGGAGAGGAAAGAGGAGGGCCAAGAAATAGCACAGTTGGTAAAGTGCTTGCCTTGTAAGTATGAAGACCTACATTCAGTCACCAGGAAAGGCCAGCCCAGATAGCATGCACAGAGAATGCCAGAACTAGGGGACAACATCAGGTACGTCCCTGGAGCTCATTAGCCAACCAGTCTAGCCTCCTTAGCAAGTTCACCTGGAGAATGCGACCCAGAGTTTCCCTCTGACCTCTTCAGGAACATGCACAAATGGGAATAGGCACACATGTATCTCTATTCTTATTATTTACTGTGGATTCTAAAAGAGACTATGATGCAAATAGTTATACAGTTAATTAATATGCAATTTGCATACATGAGTCAAAAGGTAACTACAGGGAGTGCTGAGGAACATGACCTAAATGAAGAAATCAGCGAGTCTTTCTCTTTCCCACCAGCCAACTCCCAAATAACCAAATGGAGACTTATTATAACTATGAAAGCTTAGCTGATAGATTACGTTTGTTTCTAACAAACTCTTGTAACTTAAATTAACCCATTTCTCTCAATTTACTTTCTGCCTTGTGGCTTTATTACCTTATCTCCATATTGCTCATCCTGTCTGACTGGCAGCTCCACCTTCTTCCCAACATTCTCTCTGCCGTGAAAATCCTGCCTAGCTATTGACCATTTAGCTTCCAATCAGAGTGACACATCTTTACTGTACACAGAAAGATTATTTCAAAGCAGAGAAAGTTCGTGGAAGGCTCCTTGCATGAGTCCTTGATACTCAGGCTGAAATTAGATAGCAAGGGATTATCAGCTAGGTAAATGGGCAGGCATACAAGATCTAAGGAAATACTGCATGTAAAGTACAAGGTGGCTTGGAAAAACCATGCAAGGGCCTGCTGGAGACGTCCAGAAGGTCCTCCAAATGCATTTGCCCCACTTGTTCAGTACACATCATGCCTAGGGAAACCTCACTTAAACAGATTTTGTCAATATCTCCTTCTAACCTTTGGTTTCTGGTTGGATTTGGTCAATGGCAGGAGAGAAGAGGGTGGGAAGGAGAGTAAAACTAAAGAATTTATTGCTCGGCTTCCATCTTGACAGGTAACTAGGGTTGACTTCTCCCTTCTACTGCCAAGGCCATGGCTTCCATCAAGGGATCTTCCCTATAGAGCAGCCCCATAGTCTCTGCAATGGCTCTTCCACTTGTCCCTCAGCACTAGAGGTGACAACAGCTCCGAATTAACCCACAGAGGACTGCACTTGTGAGATGTCTCCAACCCCATCCAGTCTTGTCAGCAACACATGTTAATGATGCTCTTTTTCTGACAGAATTTTGACTGGATCCCAATGTAA